AAATAGATCCTGTTACAGAAACTTATTATATGGTTCTCGAATATGCCAATAATGGAGACCTTCGATGTTACTTGCGTAATCGGTTTTCAGAACTAGACTGGCCGACAAAGATTAGAATGGCAAAAGAAATTTCTAGTGGAATTAACTGTTTGCATAGTGCAAACATTGTTCATCGAGATCTTGTAAGAGTATTATTCCTAATTACTGTTATCATCTTTTTAATTACATATCTACTAATATCTCCTGGAACGTATATTAGCATGATAAGAATATATTAGTACAAGATGGTAGATTGAAAATTACTGATTTTGGTCTATCGAAATCACTAGAAAAAAATGATTCAAAATCTATTCATTTCGGAACTTATGCTTATTCCGATCCACAATACCTTAAAGATTCAAAGTTTAAACGAGAAAAACCTTCCGATATTTATAGTCTTGGTATGCTTTTCTGGGAAATATCAAGTGGTGTTCCTCCTTTTGCTGAAATGTCAGCCTCAGAAATAATCTTAAATGTTGTTAACAATAACAAGCGAGAAACTCCAATAGATGGTACTCCAATTAGTTTTACGAATCTTTATTGTGATGCTTGGAATAGTATTCCTCAAAAACGACCTACCATTTCTGATATCCGCAAAAGGTTAGAAGGTATGGAGCCTGTTTACGATAATTATCAAAATTTTAAGAATGATGGTGGCTCTATTTTAGATTTGACTTCAATAGGTTTGTTATGTTTAATTATTTATTATTTATAGACACTGTAAGGGTTAGACTAGTTTTGAATTTGATTTATATATATCCAAATCTTCTAATCCTAAACTAAACCAAATTCGAAATCAATGCCGAAATCTTAACACCGAAGTCTTAAACAACACCAAAATCTCAAACCAATGCAAAATATTATATATATCCGTATGAAAAATATTTTACGATTTGGCATTGGTTTGGGATTTTGGCATTAGTTTGAGATTAGGTAATAGTTTAGGTTTCGAGAAACTAATGTTAGTTTAGGATTTTGGTATATAGTTTGGGATTTAGAGATCTGTTTATGGTTTCGATAGCTCTGGCCGAAACCCGAAACTTTTCGGCCAAGAAAATAAGTTTCGTCACTCATCGCCAATAGATACATTATTAATAGTTTATAATAAATTCACAGAAAATCGATTTCAAGAATTGAAGGTTGTTACTAGTGAAGAAATTCACGAGATAAGTAAAGAATCACTTGAAGAGTTAGATAAATTATTAAAAGTTAGTCCAGATGATGCAAAATTATTAAGAAAACGTGGAATAATCAATCGTAAGATGAGCAAATATGAGGAATCATTAAAAGATTTAGATAAATCATTAGAGATTGAAGTAAATAATGCTGATGCGTTAAGAAATCGTGGAGAAACCTATCGTATGATGAGTAATTATAAAGATTCTCTTGATGATTTAAATAAATCATTAGAAATTGATCCGGAAAATGCATTTGCGTTAAGAAATCGAGGTGCAACTTATCGCATGATGAATAAATATAAAGAATCACTCGCGGATTTAAATAAAGCACTAGAGATTGAACCAGATAATGCGTTTACATTAAAGATTCGTGGCGAAGTTTACCTATTGATGGGTAAATATGAAGAATCTCTTGTAGATTTAAACGAATCATTAAAATTTAAATCAAATGATATATTTGCTTTAATAAACCGTGGAACAGTTTATCGTAAGATGGGAAAATTTAAAGAATCTCTTGCAGATTTAAATACATCATTAGAGATAAAACCAGATAATATAGAATCATTAAAAAATCGAGGAATAACTTATCGTATGATGGGTAGATATAATGAATCACTTGTAGATTTAACTCGTTCATTAGAGGTTGAACCAAAAAATCCAGAGTCATTACAAAATCGAGGAATAACATATCGTATGATGGGTAAATATAATAAATCACTTGAAGATTTAAATAATCTATTAGAAATTGATCAAAATAACGCAGAAGCATTAAGAAATCGTGGAATAACTTATCATATTATAAACAACTATGAACAATCTCTTGCAGATTTAAATAAATCTTTAGAGATTAAATCAAATAATCAATTTACATTAATAAATCGAGGTGCAACTTTTTACAAATTACGTAGATATAAAGAGTCACTTGCAGATTTAAATAAATCATTAGATATTGAACCTAACGATGCATGCGCATTAAGTATTCGTGGATTAACTTATCATATGATGTGTCGATATAAAGAATCTCTTGCAGATTTCATCAAATCATTACAAATTGAACCAAACAATGCTCGAACATTAAGTAATAGGGGTGAAACTTATCGTATGATGTGTAGGTATGAAGAATCACTTGCAGATTTAAATCAATCATTAAAAATTAAATCAGATGATGCTTTTGCATTAAAAATTCGGGGTGCAACCCATCGCAAAATAGGTAAATATAAAGAATCTCTTGCAGATTTAAATAAATCAATAGAAATTAAACCAGATGATGTATGGGCACTAATAAATCGTGGAGTAACTTATCATATGATGGGGAAATATAAAGAGTCGCTTGCCGATTTAACTAAATCATTGCAAATTGATCCAAATAATGAATGG